TTAAAAATAAATCATTATTTCTATACTTGTGAAATGCTAGATAAAACAGTAAAATGTAAGATGATATTTTACACACCTGTAGTATGATTCTTCTATGTCCTCTTCTTCAATATCTTGTCTGATACCTTTTTCATCTTCCTTTTTTTCTTTTTTGTCAGAAGTTTTTGCTTTTTTTACCTAAGAAAATTAATTAWTTTTTATTCTGAATGTGGGATCAAACCTGATTTAACTACAAATTTTTTACTCGATTGCAAAAAATTTGCATAACATACTTCTTTTTCTAACCCTTCCATGAAAGCATCTAACGGGTCTTCAGATGAATCAGAATCGCAGTCAGATTTTTTATTAGATGGACTATCGGGCGCAGGAATGTACTCGAGTTGAGGCTGTTGATGTTCATCTTCGTCTTCAAAATACCTTAAACACCATTAAAGTTCACAGTCAAGCAAAATTGGATCAAAACTGTCAGTAGGAGAKAGWGGGTGCACACCACTTACTCTTCTTCGGTTTTTGCCCGTTTCTTCGGCACACCCCATAAGTTGGAGATTGCCGAATGGTTAATGGCGTTCAATGTGGAGTAGCCCTGCTTACTGAGTCCGCTGTTTGCCGGTGGAGGTATGGCCACTGACCTGGACGACGACGACCGTCCACCGGAGTTGAACGAAAACGATATTTTATCATTCATCTTGATGTTTTGTATGGTGTTGACCAGCGGATTCGTAAGATTACATTACCATAAATGGCCGAACGAGATTCGGTAACGATTATTTATTATTGTAATATTATGATGATTATTAAACCATATAACTATGCACTGTGGTCTGTGAATAAAATATTAAATCTTTAACTATTATAAATAATATAACAATATGTTTTTACAGTATCACTTAACACTCTAAACAGCAAACGCGTACCATCGTCCACCGGGACGAATCGTGCGTATTGTTTTGACAATTGTTATCACGAAAAATAAAAACGAGCTCATCCTCCGTTATCATTATAACCAGACCATAGAATAATAATTATTATTTATTTTTATCAATTTTATCTGGTGATAGCATAGCATTAGAAGAATTTCAAGAATACGTCTTGTCGTCTTCTAACGTGTTCTAATAATTCTAACTCGTACAATACAGTGTATTGAATACACACTACAGACTGAGACATTAAATTTAACATCTTAGTTATTTTTTTTTAATTCCGAGTTATACGATATTATACAATATACATAATTCGTAACTGTYATACCTATTAATTGTATTCTTTYTGCTTAAGCATAAAAACCTGTGATCTAAATAATCTAAGACGGTGAAGTACTGCGTAKTTAAATCTATGGAAATGCCATTTTCATAATTACGAGTCACGAATCACGAACACTCTATAGGTAACAGCCTGTTATTCATTCTGCATTCTTTAATTCTTCAGTTTTCCGTTGTAAGTAATTGGATTTTGTAATGCAATAAAATATTATATTAAATTACAATTTAATTATAATAGTATTATTACTAACTTGGTGTCTCACATTAAGTATAAATAAATAATACACCTTTAGCATATTTAGGTATGGTGTATTTTTCTC